TTAGGGGCATATTCAGAGGGACTTGCAGACTGAGGAGCTTTCCTTGCTCAGCGTCCTTTCAACAGAGCGGGTCTCAGTTTGGGTGCTAGTTTGTCTTTAAGCCCCTCAAGCACTCGCCCACCTACCTTTTGAACAGAGAGGGTGGGCGTCAGGGTCACAGCCTCCAGCACCCATGATATCTAACTAGGATTTAGTATCATGTTTTGTTTTCCCTGTACTATATTTATTTTAAACCTTTACCTGCTATTTATGATGAGGGGTCTTGGTTTCTCATTACGTAGTAATAGTGATATAAAGCCCCCTTTGAAAAATAAACTGAAAGGTGTGTATATTCAGGGCAACTTGATACTATGTGCCTGGGAAATAAAAAATACATACTGAAAAAAGGGAAAAAAAGAAACATAAACCGTTTAAAAGTAAGATTAGGCCAGGCTCAGTGGCTCACACCTGTAATCCCAGCACTTGGGGAGGCCCAGGAGTGTGGATCATTTGATGTCAGGAGTTCGAGACAGTCTGGTCAACATGGTGAAACCCGGTCTCTACTAAAAATAAAAAAATTAGGCCGGGCGCGGTGGCTCAAGCCTGTAATCCCAGCACTTTGGGAGGCCAAGGCGGGCGGATCACAAGGTCAAGAGATCGAGACCATCCTGGTCAACACGGTGAAACCCTGTCTCCACTAAAAATACAAAAATCAGCTGGGCATGGTGACGTGAACCTGTTGTCCCAGCTACTTGGGAGGCAGAGGCAGGAGAATTGCTTGAACCCGGGAGGCGGAGGTTGCAGTGAGCCAAGATTGCGCCATTGCACTCCAGCCTGGTGCCTGGCGACGGAGCAAGACTCTGTCTCAAAAAAAAAAAAAAAAAAATTAGCCCAGCATGGTAGCAGGTGCCTGTAGTCCCAGCTACTCAGGAGACTGAGGTAGGAGAATCACTTGAGCACAGAGGGCGGAGATTACAGTGAGCCAAGATCATACCACTCTACTCTAGCCTGGGCGAAAGAGCAAGGCTCTGTCTCAAAAATAATAATAAATTAAAAAGTAAGTTTAAATAAACATATTAAGTAAATAATATTACAATTGGTATCACCTCTATCTAGGACAATTTAATAACATCAAAATGTTAAATGCACATACAAAAACAGGCAAAGCTATTCTATACTGCTAGATAATCTAATGGTGATCACCCCCAAAGGTAAGAGATAGTGCCTAGAAGAGGGCTTGAGGAGGAATCTGGCTTCCACCCTCCATTCTTTTAGTTGACCTGGGGGCTCAGTGTACAGGTGTGTTCACTCTGTGAAAACTCATCAAGCTGCATATGCTCATGACAGGCATGTGTTTGCATGCATAGCATATATTCACATACCCCTTAACTCAACAATCCCACTTCCAGAAATTACTGCACAGACATATACACCCATGCAAAATGACACATTCAGAGATATTCACTATGTCACTGTTCTCAGAAAAAAAAAAAGGAAAAAGATTGGAAACAACCTAAGAGTTCCCCAGCTGGGGACTAATTAAATAAATCTGGCATAGCCTAGAGCGGAATCTATGCTGCCATCAAACAGAATGAGCTCTTGGCAGATGTCCATAATTTATATGGATTTAAATTTAAGTGAAAGAAGGGCTATGTACATAGTTCTGTGTATAGTGTGCTACCTTATTTTACATATACATATGTTTGTGCCTAGGACATCCTTTGCCTAGGATAGCTCAGAAAAGAGTGACAGAAAACTGATAACAAAGAGCCCCTCTGCACTGGGCAGGCCAGGAAAGAGGGGTAGGAGGGGAGGCTTGTCATTGTCCATTACCCTTTTCTACTTCTAAATTTTGTACGAAGCCCATGCATGCATCTTCATCAATAGTCATTTTCTTGTTTTCTCTTTCTTTTTGAGGCCGAGTCTTGCAGTGGCAATGATCTCAGTTCACTGCAACCTCTGCCTCTGGGTTCAAGCAATTCTCATGCCTCAGTCTCCCAAATAGTGCATCACCATGCCCAGCTAATTTTTGTAGTTTTAGTAGAGACGGGGTTTCACCGTGTTGGCCAGCCTGGTCTCAAATTCCTGATCTCAGGTGATCTGCCTGCTTCGGCCTCCCAAAGTGCCTGGATTACAGCTGTAAGTCACTGCACCCAGCCTCAACAGTAATTTTTAAAGTAAGCAAAAAGTCTTACAGAATGTACAAGGCTGTCATAAAACTTATGGCTCCTCCAGACCTAAAAACTGAGAGGTAAATTGTTAGCACTTTGGACTTATAAAGCAAGTAACTCTTCCCTCAACCCCAGAGACGGCACCAGATGTAATGGGCTTTCCTGTAAATGGTTTCCAAATAACAGTAAACCTGGTCCAGGACAAATTACTTACTCACACTGCGCCCTGCCCTGCAGTCAAACTCTGGCACCTAGAGCTGCCCTGGCAGAGTTGGCAGGTGGCAGAGTTCTTGGCATGGATGTGGAGACTTTAAGCAGAAATACTTCCAGGGATGAGAGCTACTTGGTAAGGCAAGCTCAGTTGGCAAAGGAGGGATTCCAACTTCTGAGAACCATCCTGCCCAAGAGAAGCATGGCAAGGGCCATTGGGTGGATTGCTCTAGGGACTGCAAAGGACAGCAACAGAGCAAAGTCTTAAAAATTAGAGTTCGGTTTTGGCCAGGTGCAATGGCTTACGCCTGTAATCCCAGCACTTTGGGAGGCTGAGGTGGTGGATCACAAGTTCAAGAGATCGAGACCAGCCTGGCCAACATGGTGAAACCCTGTCTCTACTAAAAATACAAAAATTAGCTGGGCATGGGGGCGTGCGCTGTAGTCCCAGCTACTCGGGAGGCTGAGGCAGGAGAATCACTTGAATCTGGAGGGCAGAGGTTGCAGGGAGCCAAGATCAAGCCACTGCACTCCAGCCTGGCGACATAGTGAGACTCCATCTCAAATTAAAAAAAAAAAAAAATAGAGTTCAGTTTTATTTAACTGCATGATATATGTTTGCACTGTACTTTTTTTCCTCATATGTCACTCTTTCCCCGTATCACTAATCCTAAAACAATCCAGTGAGGTGCAGGGCAGAGATTCACTTATTCATTTTACAGATGAGAAAATGGAAGTGTGAGGAGGTTGGGAGACTAGTTAGTGATTACACATCAGGGAAGGGGTGAAGCCAGAAATATAACTCCCACCTTCCCACGTCCCCACCCAACAACCTTAGGCTCTCCTCTTTCAACTCTGATCTACAGAGAGAAGAGCTCACAAGGCCAGATAATTCAGGCACAGAATTCCTGGGGACTTAAGGGATCTATAAGACCATCTAGGGCATCAGTTTTCAATACTGACTGCACACTAGAATTACCTTCATTCTAGTAGGTAATTTACTAGAACTAAGCTCAAGTAAATTCAAATAAACACCTATGCCAGGGCACAAGAATCTGTAGATTTTGATGCAACTGCTGAATTATAGCTCAAATTGCCCCCCACTCCCATCCCACATATGACCTTCTGTCTCCCTGGAGCTCCCACCATCAGGTCCTTGCTCCATCCTCTGGCCCCCAAACACGCTGCTCATCTCTCTTCCACATTACCTAGAGTCAGAGAATTGAACTGGAAACTGGCCTCAAGCTAGTTTTCTAGGTGGAAAAGTCAGTGAACAGTTCTGAGGCCCACAACATGGAAGTGACTTGCCTAAGATATCCATAAGTCAGTAACAGAGCAGAATCTCTGTTACTGGCAAGGCCCCCACTCACAAAGGGGTCACAGAGAAGGCCAGTCCTGATGGCAAATCCAGCAGCTCCTGCTAGCAGAATAGACCCAGCAACATGGCTAAGGAGGACACCAGGGGAGAGTGTGTGTGTTTGGTAGGAGTGGGGTGTCAGTGAGCACCTGGGGTCCCTGGGCAAGTCTGCTCTCGTGGCATACTGGAGGCAGAGAGCTAATCTAGAGTGGCAGGGGTGGAGCCGGCCCATAGGAAGATATCCTCATCTCTAGACTAGGGCCCAGCCTAATTGAAATGCCCTTACAGAAACCCCAATCTCTTGGGGCTGCTTATACCACAGGTGTCCAGATTCCCTGCCCACTATAGTAATAATGTCTCACACTTCTTGAGCTCTTCGCTAGGCACCGTACCCGGCCTATTTCACTGACTCTCCGCAAGCATCCTACAAGTTGAAAATAATTACAGTATCCATTTACAGACGAAGAAACCATGGCCGAGAGGGATGAAGTAACTTCCCCAAGATCACTCAGCTAGTGCTCACTTCAGAAGCACACAAACTAAAATTGGAACGATACAGAGATTAGCAATGTTTTAAATAGAAATTAAAATATAAAATAAAAGATCACACAGAGCGACAGAATTCAAAGGTTGGTTCATGTCTAACCACTACCATCCTCCCCCCTAACAAGGCAGAGGAGGAGGTGAAGCCCCAGCGGCAGCGGCAACAGTAACTGAGCACCTAGGAGTGCAGGAGACGTCGTCTGCTGGAATCCTCCAGGCCACGCAGGAGGCAGGCGCATCCTCCTTCCACCAAAGAGGAAACTAAGACGCTAAGGGGCATAAGCAAATAACTAGCGGAGACCAGACCCAGAATCCAGGTCTCCGAACCCCGACTGCAAAGCCTAACTACTTAAGTTTCACAGACGGATGCAGAGGCAAAGTCAGTCCTGCGGGGTAGGCGTGGTGGGCGCGCCCAGGGCGGTCACCAGGGCCTAGCCAGCCAGCCAGCGGACGCACAGCGGGCAAACAGCCCACCAGGTGCACACAGGTGAGCCAGGTGGCACTCGGTCGGTAGGCAACCGGCTCTAACACTGCCGACAGGGCGGCTGAAAATTCAGGCTGAGCTCGGGCCGCCAGAATCTTCCGGTTCCAGGGGAGAAAGACAAGAAGCCCGCGCGCGCTCCCCGGCGCCCTCCCAGGAGCGGCTAACTCTGGACCCAACCCCCGGCCAGTGAAGAGGCGGTCCGAATGTGAGACCCCACCCCCATCCCCCACCCACCAGCCCTACTGGGGTCACTCACCCAGAACACGGTGGAGTAAATGATAAGTGAGAACTTGAGCCAGAGGTAAGAGAAGTGCGCACAGTAGCGCACCTGCTCCGAGTTCCCGCGCGGCATCCTGGGCGCTCCCCGCACGGGTTACGGGGGCTCCGGGGCTCTGCGGCTTGGTTCGTCCGCCAGCGCTCGAGGCCCCACCTGCGGCTGCCGGGCTACCAGCCCCGCCACCGCCGTTCTCTCCAGGACTGACACTGGCGCGCGGCAATCACGGCCCCAGCCGGGGAGCCTGCCAGCACCGGCGGCCAATGGGATGCCACGGCGGCCCAGCCTCTAGCAGGGGGCGGGCCAGGGGCGGGGCTGCTGCCCTGGGCCCGAGAGGGGACCCAGGAGGGAGGGAGGGAAGAGGAGGGGAGGAGAGGGGAGGGGAGGAGAGGGGAGGGGATGACGGTCTTGCAAATGAACTCGCGTGCAACTCTGGAAACGCCTGTGCTAATGCAGGCGGGCGTGGGAGAGTGTGAACCAGAGGTGCCCTAGGGAAAGAGCGAGCGTGCCTAATCGGGGTACAAAGAAATGCAAGCTTTCCACTGTTGTCAAGAGGGAAAACTATGGGAAAAGGGGAGGAATTAACCGCCAAGGTGTTGAAAGTGCAAATGAGTGTGCAAATGTGAATGGAATAAGGAAGTGGAGTTGCTCGGCCTAAGGGAGGCGGAGTACCGCATCTTGGAAGGTGTGGCAGACCAGGGTGGGGCCAATAGGCCCCCAGGGAACTGGCGTCTGGAGTTTGCTTCTGTCACAGATCTGCTGAAGGCCTTCACCAAACGACTTTGGAAGTCCCCTTCTTTTGCCAGGTGATAACCCAGCCTTGAGAAGCGTTCCTCCCAGGAAACCCCATCTTCAAACTAGGTTGAAGGCCTGGTTCGGTGGCTGACGCCTGTAATCCCAGCACTTGGGTAAGCCAAGGCCAGGGAGTGGTTTGAGCCCTAGGAGTTCAAGACCAGCCTGGGCAACATGGCCAAACCCCGATTCTATAATTAAAAAAAAAAAAAAAGCCGGACATGGTGGCTCATCTGTTGTCCCAGCTACTTGGTAGGCTGAGGAGGAAGGATCACTTGAGTCGGGGAAGTTAAGGCTGCAATGAGCTGTGATTGTGCTACTGTACTCCAGCCTAAGTAAGAGTGAGACTGTCTATTCAAAACAAAAGCAAAAACAAGGCCGGGTGCGGTGGCTGATGCCTGTAATACCAACATTTAGGGAGGCCAAGGCATGCACATCACTTGAAGTCAGGAGTTTGAGACTAGCCTGGCCAACATGGTGAAACCCCCTCTCTACTAAAAAATACAAAATACTTAGCCAGGCAGGGTGGCGCATGCCTTTAGTCCCAGCTACTCAGGAGGCTGAAGCAGGAGAATCGCTTGAACCCAGGAGGCGGAGGTTGCAGTGAGCCAAGATCCCGTCACTGCACTCCAGCCTGGGCAACAGAGGGAGACTCCTCAAAAAACAAACAAACAAAAACAAATTAAAAAAAAACTACCGGTGAGGGAGGCAGCCAACAACTAACCCAGCCTCTTCCCTCCTGGCTTTTTCTCAGCCCGGGACCAGAAGTGGCTGAGAGTCTGTCTCCCATGCTAAGTGGTCCTAGTTTTACTCACTGTTGTTTTCCTGTCTCCCAAGCCTAGCTCAGCCTGGGACTTGGGAGCCAGACAATCCCTGCTGTGGCCTTCTGTAACTAAATCCATGGCACAAGGTCATGAGCTCAAGCAGTGCTGGGTGGGGTCCCTGGTGGTGATTTCAGGGATGACACTCTTATACAAGTCCCCAGTCCTGGGTTCCCAGGGCTCCCGCATACACGAACTCAACAGAGAAGGGTAGACTCAGAGTGAGTCCAGGCTGGCTCTTGCACCCAGGGCTCTGCCCTAGGAGGAAGAAAGCAGTGTTGAGGGGTGGGGGTGAGGAGAGAGGCAATGCCATGCTTGGAAGGGTAAAAGGAAACTAGTTTCCTGGTACAAAACGAGCAAACCTTGGGAGGATGTTTGTGTAGGGTAGGGAAATAGAACCTGGGCCAGGCACATTTTTGGGAGGCCAAGGGGAGGATTGCTTGAGTCCAGGAGTTCCAGACTAGCCTGGGCAACTTAGCAAGACCTTGTCTCTGCTGAAAATCAAAAAACTTAGCTAGGCATAGTGGCCCGTGCCTGTAGTCCCATCCTCTTGAGTCCTTGAGGGGTATCGCTTCTTGAGCCCAAAAGATCGAGGCTGCAGTGAGCTAGGATTGTGCTATAGCACTCCAGCCTGGACAACAAAGCAAGACCCTGTCTCAAAAAAAAAAAAAACAAACAAAAAAAAAAAAAAAAAAAAAACCAAAGGAAAAAAAAAGTAGAAAGGGAATCAGAGGCTAATGCAATTTGCCCTCAAATGATTATCTGAGGGCCAAGAAGACATCTCATTATAGTGTTAAAAGTTGTCCTTCCTGGCCGGGCGCGATGGCTCACTTCTGTAATCCCAGCACTTTGGGAGGCCGAGGCAAGTGCATCACAAGGTCAAGAGCTTGAGACCAGCCTGGCCGACATGGTGAAACCCCCCAGCTCTACTAAAAATACAAAAATTAGCCAGGGGTGGTGCTGGATGCCTGTTATCCCAGCTACTCGGGAGGCTGAGGCAGGAGAATCACTTGAACCCCGTCAAGATGACACCACTGCACTCCAGCCTGGATGACAGAGCGAGATTCCATCTCAAAAAAAAAAAAAAAAAAAAAAGTTGTCCTTTCTGTCCTTTGAGGAGGAAGACTTTTTATTCCTCTTTGGGGGCTGGAGCCTAAGCTCACACCCATGATTTGGGGTGCTAGTGTCTTCCCCACCCATAGAAGCTTCAAGCCCTCTTCATACCCTGGAAGGCCAGTTTAGCCTCCTCGTTCCCTTCCACTCTCCATATTTTAACTACAGTTCCCCACTGCCACACACCTCCCCCATTGGGTTTCCTTCCCAGTTGCCCCTGGACTTCTATTCTTCCCTTCCGGCCTCTCCAGCCAGATGCAATTTCTTTCATCTTTCAAATATTCCCTGGTGACACTCAAGCTTCTTAGCAGGCCCTCTCAGCTCTCCCTAAGCCCTTGAGGTAGACCATCACTACAAAGAGTCTTGGAGCTCTTTGAGGATGGCACAGCCTTTCCTGGGCTCCTTCATTGTCCCTCCCCAGCTGCAACCCTGACCCTGACCCCAAGCACTAGAGCTCCTCCCCGAACTACATTTGCAAACACTGAGACCTCAGAAGAAATGGCAATCTGTTTCCCACTGTTCCTCCTTTAGCCAGGAACTCTGGGCTAGGGGCCAGCAGGCCTGGTGCAAGTCCTGGTTTTGCCATTCCCTTTTGTAGGACTGTTAAAATGTGTGGCATAGTGTGACACACAGGTGTGAAGGCAGCCCTAGCTGCAGATTAGAAGCACCTGGTGAGCTTTAAATGTATCCTGATATTCAAGCCCCACTGCAGTCAAGTCAAAATCCCCACCAACAGGAACCTGGTAATCAGTATTATTTTTAAAGTCCCCAGGTAATATTTTATTTTTATTTTTTTGAGAGGGAGTCTCACTCTTGCCCAGGCTGGAGTGCAGTGGTGTGATCTTGACTCACTGCAACCTCTGCTATCTGGGTTCAAGTGACTCTCCTGCTTCAGCCTCACGAGTAGCTGAGATTACAGGCACCTGCCACCACGCCCAGCTAATCTTCGTATTTTAGTAGAGATAGGGTTTCACCATGTTGGTCAGGCTGCTCTTGAACTCCTGATCTCAAATCATCCACCCATCTCAGCCTCCCGAAGTGCTGGGATTACAGACCTAAGCCACCACGCCTGGCCTCCTTCAGGTAATTTCTAAATTAAGCATCACTACTACAGAAGTAGTCATGAAGGTAAGGTTGTCAGCCAACATCTTACCAGAAAGCCACATTCCAGAGGTCACTCACTCAGCTATCCAATGGTGTACTGGTAAATATTTAAAAATTAGGTGGGGTGGGGAATTCCAATTTCCATAATGTAAATACTTCCACCATGTCTGATTTTAAGTTACCAACTTGAAGTCAATGAACCTGGGAGTTCAGAGGCGTGCAGAGTCTGCAACAATTGCTCAGTATTGCGTGCAAATATCCATATCTCCATCCACTCCAAGGCTGTACTAATTAGCATAATGAATGCATTGGTAAAATTCTGGGCTTATTAATTAGCATAACAGGTATTAGAAATGAGTCTCCTTTGGAGAAATTAACCATATTCAAGTTATTTAGATTGGTAAAATAGTTTTGGCACCACCCATTCCTTGTTCAGTGTCAAAGAATCTTGGGAAGCTGCTAATTCTCTTTTTTTTTTTTCCTTTTTCTTTTCCTCTTTTTCTTTTTTTTTTCTTTTTCTATATTCTTTTTTTTTTTTTAAGGTGGGGTTTCACCATGTTGGTCAGGCTGGTCTTGAACTCCCGACCTCAGGTGATCCAACCACCTTGGCCTCCAAAGTGTTTGGATTACAGGCGTGAGCGACCACCCCTGGCCGCTAATTCTCACTTAAGGATAATACACTAAGCTAAAGACTTGAGAGTGCTTCTGTCCCGAGGTATTCCAATGTAGCCATCAATCAAACTGAATCCTGCCTTTAGAATATTGTATTTTCCTCCAGCAGACCCTTCTTGCAAGGTGGAAGAGCGCCGAAAAGGACAGAAAGCTAGGCCTTCTTGGGTTTCACAGAAGAGGTTATATGACCCAATTTGGTGGCTGCTTGCTAATAAATGTTTGTTTTATAGACATTTGTATGGGCAGCAGAATCTGTCCTGAGACCCGTTTTCATGGTAACTTGGCAGTGAGATTTAGGGGGAAATGACTAACCTTTGCCTTCAGTGGCTACTGCAGTTTATGAAAGAGGAGCTAACAATTATGTGTGACCAACTTGACTTAGGTATGTCTGTATTCATGCCACTTGGCAAGGGACTCTGTCTGTGCCTCTGTTTCCCCACCTGTGAAACAATGAAGTTGGCCTGTTTTTCTTCCAGCTCTAACAGTCTTAGCTATAATCCTCACAGCCAACAGATGAGTCAGCAAATGCATAATGAGCTTCTACTATGAGTCCCGCCCAAGCTCTGAGGGTACAACTGCAAACAAGATACACAAGAGCTTCTGTTCCATTCTGTTGGGGTGGGGGGTTGTAGGAACATGTAACACATGAAAAGTATCGTTTCAGCAGGCAAAGTGGCTCACTCGTAATCCCAGCAGATTGGGAGGCCAAGGTAG